TCATCCATGTCCTTATTGTTGCAGCAAATAAAAAATAATAATACAACGAGAAGTAGACATCTATTTTTGCTTGTAACTTATTTGAATGAATGCAAATAATCCATGTTTATTTAAACATTATTCGTAAAACACTGTGCATAACAAAAGCCAAAACATGAAATAAAACATGAATTGCTCAAGTCCCATAAAATGTCTATGAAAGTTCCCAGTTAGTTGTGAAACGATGACTCACTAACACATTTATTTTCATTATAAAGTTTTTCCTTTAAGCAGTTACAATGTCGGAAGGACTCAGTGTGGGACCTGAAATAGTTCAGGTGATAGGTATCGGTTGTTAGTTCAGGTTATAGTTTAGATTTGGTGTTAAAGGTTAGGTTATAGTTAAGCATAGGGTTGTTGGTTAGGGGGTTAAGTTTAACCCTTTTACTGCAAGAGACTGCTACATTTTCTAAAGGTGGCAATTAAAAACTGTCCAAAATTCGCAGTGTGTGGGGCTGTCGGCATTCCTCAATCAGCCTGCCGGAAAATCTCTGTGCGATCAGAGTCAGCAGCCAATGAGCTGCCCGCTCTGATCGGGCATTCTGACAGGTGTTCGGTGGCACCTGTCAGAATACAATGTAAACTGCAGCGATTCCTTGATCAACACGCTGTTTGTGTTGATGGAGGAATTGCGTCAATTTCTTTCGTTCAGCCGGCGGGTTGAACGGAAAAAAATTGACAGGTATATGGCCAGCCTTAGACTAAACTTATGGCTGACCATAAATGTACACGCAGGTGATGCCTGAGACTTTGCCTTTTTGTGAATGGATGTATTCAGCGGTTAACAAGCCACAATTACATCTCCAAAGTGTGTAAAGGTTGCAGCTGCTGCTGCTGAGTGTAAACAAAACTGCCTGTTAGTGCTGACAGATCAGGCTTTTGCTTACCCTAGGCCCCTGCCTGCACCTCCCTGCTGCTGCTGTCTGTCCTTGCAGCATCTCCCCAACTCTGCTCTGATCCTGGGCCATATCTCCCAGCTTGTCTGATCTGGTCACCTCTCCACCAGCCTGCTCCGATCCAACCATGTCTTCCCCAGCCTGCTCCGATACCAGCCACCTCTTCCCCAGCCTGCTCCGATCTTGGTCACCTCTTCCCCAGCCTGCTCCGATCTTGGTCACCTCTTCCCCAGCCTGCTCTGATCTCAGCCACCTCTTCCCCAGCCTGCTCCGATCTTGGTCACCTCTTCTCCAGCCTGATCCACAGTTACATAATAGGTAAGGTTGAATAAAGACCCAGATCCATCTAGTTCAACTCGTGTGTGTGTGTGTGTGTGTGTGTGTGTGTGTGTGTGTGTAAATATGTCGCTACTAACTCCCATAACCCTGTATATTCTCTAAACTGAGAAACTCATCTAAATGTTTTGTTTTAATTAGCAATGCTTTTAGCTAATACTACTAACTGTAGAAGGGAATTCCGCATTTTTATTGCTCTGACATTAAAAAACAACCCCTTGCGTGGTCTGAGATTATACCGCTTCTTGTTCAACTTCCTGTTGTGTCCTTGTGTCTTCTGTTTCGATATCAGTCTCCTCTCCCACCTTGCTCTGATCTGGCGACATCTCCAGCAGCCTGCTCCGATCTGACCATATATTCCCCAGCCTGTTCTGATCCTGGCCACCTCTTCCCCAGCCTGCTCTGATGTTGGCTGCCTCTTCCCCAGCCTGTTGTGACCCCTGTCACCTCTTCCCCAGCCTGTTCTGCACAGCCAATCTTGGTCACCTCTTCCCTAACCTTGTCCGATCTGGTCTCCTCTCCCCCAGACTTATCCAGCCTCAGCCATCTAACCCCCTCTCATTTGACTACTTCCAACACCCACAGCAGCATCCTCTAGGGTCCTGAAATAAACTGGCAGCTGAAGTGATGACAATGGTGACTCGACACTGCAATTAATACACAGGTAAGTAGTATGAACGGATTTGTTTATAAACACAAACCCATTCATAAATGAAGACATAAAAATATATAATAATAATAATCATAATAATTGTATGCGCTGTCCTTTTCTTTACCCCCACCCACACTAAAAAGTAATTTAAAAGATATACATTTTCCAGGGATCTTGGATCTGATGATGTCATGGTGGTGGATAGTCATTACTACTGCACAAAATGGCTCTTACATAAAGATGAGTGAGTGCTGTTCAGTGCAGTAATACTCTGAGCCTACACTGCATGATAATGCCTCCCCAGGGTCCATGACAGCCTGAACTCAGATGGAGTCAATAAATTCATGAAGACCTGGAAGACTGAGGATATCTAGTGGTGGGAAAAAAGTACTGCAGGGAAAGGCTCTGGGTTTTTAGTGAGTATTGTAGCTAAAGCTGCTTTTTTAAAAATTTTTATTGTCTTTAATAACTTGTTTTTTTAACCTGGAGTTCAATTTTAAGATCTTATGACTAGGCTCAGTCAATACAGTCAAGTATTTAAGCATTCTTAACAAGCAGTAAATTAACTTTAACGCAAGCTTTTGCTGACCTTTGTATCTGCAGTTTATTGGGTACTGTAAAGTAATCATGTGGTAATAATCTCTACTTTGTTACTTGATTTTACTGGACTTTACTGTCAATGGTTATTGAGAATGTCTAGTCTACACGAATAAGATTTTTTTTTTTTTTAAAGAATTTACTTAAATAACAGCAAGAAAGATAAACTATTGTTCTTTGTTTGCTATCTTGCTGTTTGCTATAGAGTGAGCCACATCAACTTGAATGTACCATTCTGTGAATAATTTAGTAAACTGACCATTTTTATAAAGCTTAAGTAAACTCTTAGATTGTAGGGCTTGTTCACACCAAAAGCGTGTGCGTTCCAGAGCGGTAGCTGCTGGAACTCACCGCAATTGCTAAGAAACTTCTCCCTGCGTTTTGGGGCAGGAGGGGGCATGGCAATGCATTCAATGGCACTGCTTACACGCCCACGCCCGCCCGCAGTGCGATCGAATGCGTGGCAAGACTTTGCAAGCGTTCCGTTCCACTGCAAACGCAAAAAATAGGGCTTGCTCTATTCTTTGCGTTTGCAGTGGAACGGAACGCTGGCAAAGGTTTGCTATGCGTTCGATCGCACTGCGGGCTTTGGTAGCTTTCGGTGTGAACAAGGCCTTAGTGCTGTAATTTAAATTTGGATTTTCTTCATGAAGTGTTTCTATTGTGTTTATTGTGCTTTATTGTGCTTTAGGCTGCCCATCTTTGTTGTAGCAGTGTATTATACACTTTGCATTTTTTTGGTGCACTCCCTTGAAAATTTAAACATCATAGCAATCACCAATGTAATGCAGAAAAATAACTCATGAACCAACATGGGAAACACATCCAGACATTTAGTACATTTAGGTGAAAATAGTGTGTTTTTTACACAACATTTTTAAGCAATGTCAAATACACATAAGCAGTAGACATGTAAGCCAGCAAAAAAAAAGTTTAGTTTCATTTTGTTTTGTTTCGGATACTTCGTTTTTCAGGTTTCGGGCCTGAAGGTCAATTTGTTTCTGCATTTGGATTCGGGTAATTCTGAATTTCATTAATTTAATGATAAATGATCATTACAAAACTAGAATTTGTTGCAGAAAGGGACATTACATGTTTACTTTGTCTCTTTTTATTTCTGACAGCACAAAAAAAAATAGCATGGGGTCCCCCACCAAATTCATATCTCGCCACTGACACAATGCTGCTATTGTCTATTTTAAAGTGCAATAGCCAATAGCAAGCTGGCTATTGTTCCACCTACTGCCTTCTGTCAGTCCCAGAGGAGCAGGCCTGAGAGAGAAAGTTTTCTTTGAGGTCTGCTCCACTGCTGATTGACAGAAGGCAGTGGGCGAGCAATAGCCAGCCTGCTATTGGCTATAGTAATTTAAAATAGCCAATAACAGAATGGCTATTGCTCCTCACAGAGGAGCGGACCTGAGAGAGAACTTTCTCTCTCAGGTCCGCTCCTCTGTGACTGACATCAGGCAGTGGGTGGAGCATTAGCCAGCCTGCTATTTGGTATTTCAATTTAAATAGCCAATAGCTTTGTTTATTTCTGCCCATTGCCAGATGTAAACATTGCATCAAGGAGTTTTTTTGTTCCAATTGTCGCCCGACGCTGGAATGACTTTGTGAGACAATTTTTACATTTATTTTAAATAAAGGAATTATCAAAAATGTGTGTTTTTGTTCAATTAAAGGAATTTTTATGTCAATAATTTACTTTTCTTTAACCCTTCAGTGAATGGGTAGGGTCACAAGGGCCCGCACCCCCACAACCAACGTCCCAGGGCTTGTGGGGAAGAGGCCCTTGTCCCCATTGGCATCCAAAAGCACCCTCCCAATGCTGAGGGCATGTGGCCTGGTATGGTGGTGAAAGGGAGGGCACTCACTCGTCCCCCCCTCTTTCCTGCCCTGCCAGGCTGCTGCCCGGATTAAGGGTCTGGTATGGGATTTTAGGGGGACCCCATTTTTTTATTTTACTTTTTGGTGTTGGGGTTCTCCCTTAAATTTCCTACCAGACCTAAAGTGTCTGGTATTAATTGGGGAGGACCTCACACTGTTTTTTTTTAAAGTATTATTATTATTTCTGTGAACAGTTAAACACTTTTGTGTATTCTGTGACAGCTGTCAGATTCTTTACATTCGGGATGGAAGTGTCCTCAAAGAAGCAGAAGCTGTTACAGAATAACATATACCTCTCAGCTTCTTTAATTATTTACATTTTGTAACAATATTGTTTTACTTTGTTTTCATTTGAGATACAAGTCTGAGAAGCCAGAGAGCGGTAAATGACAGCTCTCCCACTTGTTGTGTTTAGTTTCCGAATGAAATTCGTATTATCTGAATTTTGTTATGAAGGTTATCAAACATTCGGATTAGTTATTTCTGTCATTCGGAAATTCGGATGCATCCAAATTTCCGAAGTTACAGAAATGTGTACCAAAACAAATTGCACATGTCTAATAAGCAGCACAATCTATACTTTATTCAAATGCTGCAAAGTGAACTATAATGAGCAGATTAAATATTTAATTTTAACCTGATGCAGTCAACTTCTTCTGTAACTGGAACAGCACTTGTCTTTATGTCTATCTCACCACTACATTTACTTCCATTGTAAGTGGATCTCCATTTCAGGAGCATGATCTTCTTAAAGTATTTCATGGTATTGTTTTTAACAGTCACAAAGCACATTGTGTTAATCATGCTGTTGCTCATTGCAATGCACTCGACAATGTAGAAAGCAGACAGATAATGCTTCTCTTTGATAAAAACTGTAGGAAAAAAATCCCTAACAATCGTAAATCCATAAAATGGGGCCCAGCATAAGAAATAAGCTGTGAGGATACACATGAGCACCAAGACCGTCTTTCTTCTGCATCGAAGGCGTTTCCGTATTTGTTCTGTCTGAAATCCAGGCACTGTTTTGAACCAAAGCTCCCTGGAGATCCTGGCATAGCACAATGTCATTGTAACAACTGGCCCAACAAACTCAATGGCAAAAATAAAGAGGAAGTAGGATTTATAATAGATCTGCTGGTCAACCGGCCAAATCTGACCACAAAATATCTTTTCTTGGCTTTTCACAATAAAGAGCACAGATTCTGTAGCAAAATACGCTGAAGGAAAGGCGATAAACAGAGAGATAATCCAAACCAGGGCAATCCAGAATGAAGCAGTCTTGTAATTCATACGAGGCTTCAGTGGATGCACAATTGCCAAGTACCTGCAAAACAAAAGGATTACATTCATTAAATTAAAACATGGTTTTATTTTTACACTACCATAGCCACAAGAATTAATGCAGGTTCCAACCATGATCAAACTATGGGGATGGCTAATATTTGCCTTCCTAGCATCAGAGTTTACTTTTACATTAACATTGCCACAAGAGTCTCACAGGTAACAACCACTCTTACTTTCCTTCTTAGCATCACCGTTTCTAAACACAGAGGAACTTTTTGATCAGAAAAAAACACCTGCGAGTGAGATAAGAACCATGGAGCCAGCTAGGCAGGTAAATATGGTGTGGTGAGGTCATCACTGGAACTTTATAAACCACCTCCATACTGCTGCACTGTAAAAAAAAAAAAAGCGGAGAGGTAGATGTGTATTTCTGGATTGCCATTCAAATAACTCAATCATGCATTCAGTGTGCCCGTGAGTGGCTTTGATCTGAGCTGTCATTGAAAAGCTCAGTTCACTCTCACAATGTACAGAGCCAATCAGAGGGGCATTGTACTTTGTGATTAATGTTAACTAATCACAGCTACCAGAACATTCAGCCCATTCACAATGGAGATGTCTGTCATGAAAATCTTACAATGTAAGGGGAAAAACATCTGCCAATGCCAGAGACAGGACCACCATGACAGAGACATGATGCTTCTAGGGTTTAACTGGATCATATTTTCCAAAGAAAGTCTAGATTTGTCCCACACTGTGATGATGTTCTGGAGTGGAATTGAGCAAAAGGGACCAATTACACGCAGCTCACATGTAGTGATGGTCCCGATGTTCGAGTCAACCAACATCGGTGAACACACGAACTTTCAGGGCGTTTGGCGGGCTGTTCGCCCGTCGAGCACCCCAGAAGGCACTGCGCACTGCACAGTGCCTTGTGAAGCTCTGATTGGATAAAGCAATGCACCTGACCACAGGTCAGGTACAAGACATTACCCCATCACAGCGCACTGTGAGAGACATGATTGGGCAAAGTAATAATGACTTTATTTTTTCAAACGTCTGGTATTTTTATTTAAATGTATTTTAACCTATTAGTGAATGGGTAGGGGTACAAGTACCACTTACTCTCCCACAAGGGGGGGAGGCACATCTGGGTGCCCCTTTTTTAAAGGGGTACCCCAATCCTCTACAACCACAGCCAACGCTCCAGGACTTGTGGGGAAAAGGCCCTTGTCCCCATCGGCATAGGGACAAGGTTCTTTTCCAGGGGCGGAATGTCTATGTCTATGTTATAATTAATCATCATACATAGAGGGATGCATTGGTAGAATTTGATTTTTGAATCTAAAGGTCCGCTTTGAGGGCATGTGGTACCCTTACGACAAAAAGTTGCCGTACTCCAAAAAAGGAAACTCACAAACAGCCGAAGGAGAGCCAGGAAACATATCAGGCTATGAAAATGTAACTGCAGGCAGATTGCTAGCTGCACAAGGATTGTGTCTGCTGCCCAGATGCTGCTTTCCTGAAAGCTTAGGCTGTCTGAGGTACAAGAGCAGCAACTGTCTTACAACATTAAACTTTCCTCCCCAGGATTTGAGCTAAACAAATTTGTGGCTTTATTCACTAGTACTGAGGCACTATGCCACCTTTGGCTGTGAAGTGAGAAATTTCAGAAGTCATTTTTCTAGGGCTGTAGGTCACCTGACCACCACAGCAAAAAGGTCTTTTTCTCAAGTATCAACATTGCTGTTATCTTTGTGTGCAGACACCAATGGTAAAATCTTGGTTTAGGGTACATACAGTTTTAGCAGCGGGAAGCTCTATTAGCAGTGAGGCTTTAATCACTAGGCTATGGCAGTGGGAGAAGCGGCTTGTTACATGCCCTGTGTTTCCATGCTCCCATGCTCTCGCTTGCTCTACATTCTGTTCTGTATCATCAAGTCCTGAGGAGAATGGTGGTTGATCATAAACAGTGCTCGGCTATGAGTAAACAAAAAGGAAGGGTTTTCCATTCACAAAAATAAAGTCCAGGATGCTGAGCTGAAAATAAAGAGGAAGGGTCCCCTATGTGAGTGCAGACACACAGCCTCATAGAATATAAGAGAGGAAAAATCCTCAACACAGCATAAAACCTGCTAACCATTTGTAAGAAGTGAGTCCCCAGAGACAGGAGTCAGGAGAAACTGTCACAGGTCTGGTTTTCGTTAACTCAGAATTCCTAGGTAAAGTGGCCTGAGCTAACTGGAACACAGACAGATTGTCATTGCTGACAGCAGGACTACCACAAAGAGAACCCAAGCATACTTAATGAACTGGTAGAACCTTAATGAACAGGGAACTGTGCTTATTGACTGACTGGAGAGACTTCCAGAATTGACCATGTACAGCCTACACCTACCAGCAGTTGTTGAGAGAAGAAAAAGATCTTCCAATTCATGCACACGACAAGCTGAATGGAAGGAAAGATTTATTCTGCTGAGGACACTGTAAGGGGTTATAGCCTCTTGGGAGCTGGCCCTCAGTTTCTATGGGCAGTACAAGCCTAGGTTGCTTAATTATCATCAAGCGGTTTCCCTCAATGGACAATACAAAAAAAATATTTTTTTTTAGGGACTGCTATGAATAATTGAACAGTGCAAATTGCTCTTTGCACTATGAAATAAAGACCTAGCTATAGACTAAAAGAACATTGGCCTTATGCATGTACATGCGATTTCCTTTAAATTATCTGCCACACGGGTGTGCTTAAAGTCAAAATGTTATTTAAAATTTTCAATCTGCCCAATACTGATTTTTTTAGTTTTTAGTAGATGCTGCAGAGCTAAAGCACCACAACTCATTATATCTTATCAGGACTCTATTGATGGGATTTCTATGCCTCTGGTTCTTTTCTATTATATTCATTAAAAATGTGTCCAAACTGAATGAAGTGACTTATGCACCATATACATAAGAATGGAGATGAAAGCTAAAATATTGAACGCAGGTAACCAGAATTCTCTGACTAAATTCAGTGCACAAGGCATGGATACCCAGGATTTAGGTTAAAACAAAGAACATAATTAAGATAATTAAGAAAAATAAAAAAAATAAAACTTCTGCAGGTATTATGTTTAGGTGCCGAGATACTGTATATCTACAGAGGCAACCAATCCCCTTCCTGTCAAAGGGCTGTAAAGTGGGCACTGAGTGGGAGAGCATCAAGAACAAAAGCATCAAGAAAGAAGTAAACAATTCTGATTTGCTGACATACAAATTACAATTACTGTAGTAACCGTGCCATATTAAATCATTATAATAAATTATAATCACTGAAAAAAATGTAGTTTGTCCAAAGCTTGAATTTACAAACGGCTAATTTAGCTGATATGAGGTAGCCCTTTTACTAGGTACATTACTGTACATTACAAGTACTGCTTATTTCCTTTGGGAATTGTTGGGGGTCTGCTGTAGTTAACATGCTTTCCACCATGCACTGCAGGGAATCTTATCTAGTTGCCTGATAAGAGGAACATAGCGCCTTTGAAATATTGTTGCTATTATCTGGTCAGGTGCGTTTTCTTGGATGGATGCACATACTGGGGATATTTAGGTATAAATGTTTAATGTAACAAAATGACTATCATTTTATATGCAATTTTTTTAAGCTTCAAAAAATATTTTAATGAATAATTAAATTTTTTTTAAATTGTGCATTCTCCTAAAGTCTCACCCTTGCAGTAGTAGTCATAATTGTTACTTATCATTTCTCAGCTGATTATTTACATATTTCCAGTGCTGCAGCGGAGTGTTGTACCATGTCAGCAGTAGATAAAAGCACCATTACACCATTTACTGGCCAAAGCAACAGACTACGAATGTAATTATAACTGCTAAAAAAAAAAACCCTGAAACCTTTCCAAGCTTGAATTTTCAATCTACTGAGTTAGCTGATATGAGGTATCCCTTTAACTAAGTACATTCTGCTTATTTCCTTTGGGAATTGCTGGGAGTCTGCTGTAGTTCTCCACTCGCTTTCAATCATGTCCTGTAGAAAATCTTATCTAGTTGCCTGATAAGGAGAACATACAACCTTCCAAATATTGTTGCTAATCAACTGATCAGATGCGTTCTCATGGAATGGATAGCTGTACATACTGCGGAGAAGGGTCTACATACTGCGGAGAAGGGTCTACATTCAGCACTAAAATGGGATATTTACGTATATATTGTTAATGTAAAAAAATGGCTTGCTAATTTATATTCCACATCAACATCTGCTCTAGCAGATGAATTATGTCAAAAAGCTGACAATGGAATAGGTCATGCAATTTATCATCAACTGTTGCTTACATTATGCCATGTTATCATTCATCTAATACAATTCAGTCCAAGAAATATTTGAAAATTTCAAATGTATATCACCAATAAGTAAAATAAATCCATGAAGGTTTCTTAGGAAATGTCGCACAGTATTGAAAATTACTACTCTAAGCCAAGGCTTAGGTTTAATTTATCTAATCTGCAAAATGTCAGCCGCGTGACTGACATAACAATAATTAACTAACTGTAAAGCGGATGTTTGGTCGACCATTGTTGGATGTCGTTTTGAGAATGATGGGCGGCGACACATCTATCTCTCTTTAGATCCTGCTACAATCTTTTTACTGACTTGGTCAACACATTAATGTAGTTCTTGTGTGGTAACGTACATGTTCCCTACAGAGAAGGGAATGATCGCTGACATTCTATGAACCAGAAGCAGTTGGTGTTACCCCCCACTGTAAGACTTGCACACCTGTTGCTTTCATGCTTCTGGTAGGTACTTAGCTGTATTAAATTAATTCATCTAATTTGAGTGTTACTTGGTGAATATGCGATACAGGGACAGAGGGTGAATCATCCAATGGAGATACCTGTTCCAGTGCCAGCTGTTAAAGTGACACTAAACTCAGTAGTTAAATCTTAAAAATGTATTCAAATACCCTATTAACAAAAATGTATCTTATCTGTGTATCAATGTCCAAGGACCTGTAGCACACCTTACCGGACTTCACATAA